GTCAACATTGGGTCTTCTTGAAGCAGAGCTGCAGAAGCCAGATGCTGGTCCATGTGGTCATTCATTGGCTGAGAGTCAGTGTTCTTAGATGCTGTTTTGTTTGCTTTGGCATTTGTTTTGGATGCATATCATAGTCTCTGACATTTTTGGTCTCTGCCTAGAAGGGGTCATATTTTTTCAGCTCAGAACAGTTCTCAAACCTGGTCCTGTCCAAGATTTACATAGGGACATGTGTTAAATAGGTTTACCAATTTTTATTTTAAACCCTGTGAAGACTGTGTTGGGAGTATGCGATAACAACTAGTTTGCTTAACCCTGGTATTGAATTTGCATCGGAAATGAAATGAGACCCAGTAGTATCACAATGCAAAAAATGTCACAGTCCTTTTCTGCTGGTAAAACTGCCAAATTTAGAAATCATTAAAACCAGGCTTCAGTTCAGATGTTGCAAGGTTCAGCATATTGGATCCATCAATCCATCTTGAATGATCTGACCTGTGTGTTAGTCGCCCTTTTTTATGTAGGCCGTTAATGTGACCAGTTGTATTCCTGATTGACACTGATATACACGTGTTTCTTTAAGCACATATAAATCAGACATTTTGGATATAGTGTATAGTATTTGAAATATATCAAGTTCTACAGGTTTGTTGTGACAGTGCTCATTTGAACCTTATATGCTTTGATTAATGAGGAATCATTGCTATAAGTGTGAGGTTACATGCTCTATTCCTGCTCATATTTATTTTTTCAGGGTATTATAAATGTTAAATTGTTAGAAAAGTGTTTTCAGTGGTATATTGGATTATTTGTTTTTATTATAGGGTTTTTATTTTAACCCTAAATGGCCCATGCCCCTGTGCTTTAGTGAATATCCCAACTATAACCTGAATGTGAATTAGCTTTACTGACCTTGCAGGACCTCACTGAGGAGTTAAAGGGACACTGTAGGTACCCAGACCACTTCAGCCAATTGAAGTGGTCTGGGTGCTGTGACCCTTTTGCACTTAGTGCTGCAATGTTAAACATTGCAGTTCCAGAGAACTGTAATGTTTACATTGCAGCTCTAAGTCGGCCCCCAGTAGCTGTCTACCCCCATAGGAAAGCATTGAATAATGCATGCGCACTAGGTCTTCCCCGCCGGCTGACGTCGGCGATGGAGGAGCGCAGGCGGAACCTGACCCAGCGCCGAAGGACATCGGTGTGGAATTCAGGTAAGTGGCTAAAGGGGTTTTAACCCCTTCAGTCCCACAGGAGGGGGGCCCGAGGGAGGTGGCTTTGTTTTCCTGGCACTACAGGATCCCCTTAAGATGAGAACTGATGCCGTGTCACAGAAAGTGAAGAGGAGGTTTCAAGCATACTCCCAGCCCGCATCAGACTATTTATGTTATAGGAAAACAATGATGAAGCCAGGCACAGACAGTCTGGACACAGGTCGATTCAGGAAACAAACAGGTTTATTTTAACTGGCCGAATCTCAGCCGACTCGTATCCAGGTCTGAGCACTGTAATTATGAATTACAGTTATTTTATAGACTATACATCCCCCAACTGTACCCTTACACCAATCAGTAAACAGTATGCACAGGATTACCTTATATAGATAGCAACATGGGGACAGGGAGAGGTTGGAATGTGGTTTCAGGTTTTGCACATGCTCATTATAGATTTAATTACTGAAACTTAGATATGACACGTGGAGATTTTGGGCCTAACTGAAATCCTGTCACAACTGGACCTGTCAGGAGTGCTATCACGCATTTGCATTTGCACACAGCTGATGCCGCAACATCGGACATAATGTGGCTGCACTGATGGGTCCAGAAATCTGACAGAACACCAGCTGTGGTGCTCTGGGTTATACAGAATCGCAGGGGGACCATGAGGGAACTTTTAAAGTGGTCTGCTCTCTGTAGAGTTGCAGACCACATAGTTCCCTTGAGCAGGTGTTTGTGTGTGTGCTTGTGTTTGGGAGAAACTTTATGATCTACCTGCCAGTTCAAGGAGGGCTCTTTCATAGCCAAAGCTGGAGCTCCAGGCTCAGGCAAAGGTCCACAATGCGCCTGTCTAAACACGCACCCTAGGCAGCCACTTACATAGAGCTGATTATAAAACAGTAGTGGGTACAGAGGTAAATTAAAACATGTGATATATCTTTTAATAAGACACACCGGAGTTTGCTGCAAATAGGTACATTTAAAAAGTACTGCTTCATGATGAGCAATGGTCTCCGTACCCTCTTGATTGAAGACATGCAAATATTCACAGAATCCATTCCAAAACCAATCTGTAACTGCAGCCGTGCAAAACATTTAACAAATTATCTCCTCCACATGTTCCAACTCATTTTGACTGCAGGAACACCACCCACTGCTTTTCCTTCTAGCCGGCTCATTCATCTTCTACTTGACAAATCATTTTACGCGCATGCTATAATTTCATAGCTCTCAACAGACATCCTAAATACCAGACTGGATTCTACAGACAACTCAACCATTTGTTAAGATACAATTTTGTGAGCTAGATACAGGCTGTTTTTTTTTCTTCCTTTCAATTAAAAAAAAAAAAAAAAGTCATCCTTCTCATGGCTTGCCCCTATTTACCTCTTCCACACTCCCGGTTTCTGCTTAAGATATGTTTCTGTGGAATACAGCGCATACCATTGTACAGCGCTACGGAATTTGATGGCGCTATATAAATAATAAAATAATAATAATACCTAGGCTTCAATTTAATGCGTTGTTTTTCAAATAATTCAATACTGTTAGAAAAACTTTCAAAATTATTTTTTTTACAGAAGTCTATGGTAATTTGTGTTGACAAACCATTTGGAAAGTTTTAACAAAAATGATTGACTCATATGAAAAGCTTATTAAAACGTGGCCTTAATCTCAATTTTTTTGACCTTATAAGACCTAATATAGGCCTCGATTTAATATTGTGAGGTAAGATTTTCAAATAATATATTTTTGGCTAAACTTTTAAAATAATTTTTTTCAACAAGTCTTGTTCCTGGGAGTTGAGGAATAGCTGTCTGATAGAGCACATGCGTCCGGTGTCTAATGAGGCTGAGGAACTGTGTTTTAAAGCAATGCTTAGCCATTTTGGTCTTGTTTCACCATGTCCTAAGTCCTATATCTTCTTAACTATCTTTAAAAAAACATTGTAGGCACCCTACCCATTTAAATGTATTAGTACCTAGAGTCCATGGGTACCAGGTTCTGATTCACTACTACATGGCTTACTCACTGGTGTCAGTGACAAAGCTATGCTTCTAGCTCTTACCAAACTTTCTCACACCAGGGATAGGGGCAGTGATTAGCTGAGATCACAGATTATCACTGCCTTCTACTTCTGGTAGGGCTTAAACTATTTTTTCATTGGAGGCAGAGTCTTGGGTCCTCGAACAGGGGTAGGCAGACTTTAGTATTCCAGATGTTGTGGACTACATAGCCCTTGATGCTTTGCCAGCATTATGGGAGATGTAGTCTACAACATAGGGCCAAATGTTGCCCAACCCTGCCCTAGAATCTCTTCCAAATGGCATATAAACTGATCTGGGGATCAGGGTGATTTGGAGGCCAGGACAAGACCTTGAACTCTTTATGTTCCTTAAACCATTCCTGAAGAATTTTTGCAGTGTGGCAGGGTGCATTTGTAACGGAGCTCCAGTACTCCAACCGAGTACCAAAGATTTCCTAGGAGTACATAACCCAAAACATAACATGGCCTCCACTAGCCTACCTTCTTCCCATCGTACTACCCATTTTTTACCCAGGTAAATGACACATACACACCCAGTTATCCACCTGATTTTAAAGAAACCATTATTCATCACACCAGGCAACCTACTTCCATTAATCCATGGTCCAGTTGTGACAATCATGTTCATTTAGCAGACTTTCAGACGGTGGACATGGGTCATCAGGACATGCTGACTGACCATTCTGGGGCTAAGCAGTTCCATATTCAGCAAACTGTAAAGCACTGTGCATTCCGACACCTTTTTTCAGCCATTTGAGCTACAGTAGCTCTTCTGTGTGATCTGTCCAGGCAGGCTAGCCTTTGCTACCCATGTGCTTCACGTAGCACCCATGACCCAGACACTGATGCACCGGTTTTCCTTCATTGCACCATTTTTGGTAGGTACTAACCACTGCATACTAGAAACACCCCACAAGACTTGCCGGTTTGGAGGTGTTCTGGCCATTGTCAAAGTCACTCAGATCTTTTCTCGTGCTCATTTTTCCTTATTCCAACACGTGAAATTCAAAAACCTGACTGTTCACTTGCTGCCTAACATATCCCACCCTGGTCAGATGCCCTTGTAACAATATAATCAATGTTATTCTCTTCACCTGTCAGTGGTTTTATTGTTGTGGTTGATCAGTGTATAGTAATAATGTGGGACAAAATGCCCATGGATGCAGACCACCATTATGTATGACATCAACTGAAAATTTTAATGAGTGGCTATAATTTACTTGGAAAATCAGTAGTTGAATAAATGTATAGCTATTATTTTTACAAAAAAATATAACATCAATACTAACACACAGGGAACCTGTCATGTTATATGTTTACACATTGGTTAAGAAGGGTTAGTATTTGCAAACACCTGCTCTCATTGTCTAAATCCTTTAGGCCCTGCAATACCCATTATCTTTTTTTCCATTGCAAATTATATTTAGGAAATCCAAATACTTCTGTAGAATGAGATAGTAAATTATCTTAACATTCGTGTTGCAAATATTCTTCCTGTGCATAATGGAATTGTAGGTCCACTGCATGTTGCACAGAAATTTGAATGCAGTCACTCCAAATCATTTTTGTCAAGGATGATATGACATATTTTGACTTTTCAATTTTACGGTGTATCAAATATTTGGTAATTGAGATATTGTGTCAAGAGTGTCCCTTTCAGTGGCTCTTCCAATTTCAGGGGTCTTTCCATATTCTGCACAGTCCCCAAAGCAACAAACCTAGCATGAGTGCAATAGCCAAGGGGTACAATGAAAGGTAGCTATAAAAGAGGGTAATGCCCACTTTTTTATTTCGCTAATAGTGTTTCATCCACCAAGAGCTGTGTCCATTTTGTACTCTTGAGCATGCATAAGAATACAATACGGAGTACGATGGAGGATCCCGCAAGACCATGAGATCTTGCTTAGCTCAAGTCTCATTATCCGTGAGAAGAACTATGATCTAGGAAGCTCCACCTTTTATGATGTTTACTATGAGACAAAAGTGTTGCAACTTTGTGTTATATTGTTTGAGATGGAATTTCACTTACATTCCAAAAACAGTCAATGTGAAGATTTAATTTCTTTACATATTAAACACTCAAAATGTATGCTTATAGAAATGCTTTAAAACTCCACTTTACTATATTGTGGGTTGAAAACTTGGAGGAATAAAAAAATAAAGTGGTCTGGAGGAGGGCAGGCCTATTTAAAAAAAAACAACAAAAAAAAAAAACACTAGTTGTGTTACTAATGTCTGCTTTGATTTGGTTGTCTGAGAAGGAAGCTCTGTGAACCAGCTAGGAAAGTTGTTACAGCACAAAAAAAAAGGGAAAGGATGTCTGAAGCGAAAGGGCAAAGCAGGGGGAGTTTAAAATTTAGCTTTTGCAGTCCATCATGGGGGTCCATCCGGTGGGTATCAACAGAAATCACTGCATGCTTAACACGTTTCACACATTAAGTGGTGCTCACTCAAAAGACTGCTTAGTTTGCCTTGTTGTAACATGACTTCCCCCTCATTTTTGCTAACCTAGTTCTCTGGGATTCTCCCACATAATCTACTGAGAAACAATTGTCCAGGAAAATGCTACAAATGTAACTGCATAAACATTATATCAAACGTATTGGACTTCTATTCCCACAGTAGTTGTGGGAATTATAAGTGAAAATATCCAAGCTGTGTTAGAGAAGGTCAGTACTTTGTGTATACATTTTGCAATTCGGTTTGCAATTTTCACATCACAAAACAAAAATGTATAACATCACAAAAAGTCTCTCTAACAATTACATAAACAAACTTTTCCATTTCCCATGCTCTACAAACCTTTTTCCATATTTATCATTAAAGGACCACTATAGGCACCCAGACCACTTCAGTTCAATGAAGTGGTCTGGGTGCCAGGTCCACCTAGGGTTAACCCTGCCTGCTGTAAACACAGCAGTTTTAGAGAAACTGCTATGTTTACATATGGGTTAATCCAGCCTATAGTGGCTGTCTCATTGACAGTCGCTAGAGGCGCTTCCGCTCGTCTCACTGTGATTTTCACAGTGAGAAGACGCCAGCGTCCATAGGAAAGCATTAAAAATGCTTTCCTATGGACTGACTGAAAGCGGGCTCGGCTCTTGCCGCGCATGCGGTCAAGGAGGGACAAGAGTCCCCGGCGCCGGAGAAAGGTAAGCGTTTAACCCCTTCCTCCCCCTAGAGCCCGGCGGGAGTGGGACCCTAAAGGGAGGGGGAAATGAACCTAAAGACCATATAGTGCCAGGAATACGAGTTTGTTTTCCTGGCACTAGAGTGGTCCTTTAATGATTTCCTATGAGAATTAATTTGCATTAGTACTTAAAATCCTTCACATATCCCATCATACTCCCTGAATACACTCACCTTTTACAGAAATACCTCTTAGATTACCCAAAAGCATCAAACAGACACACAACTCTTACCCATCATCATCATCCAGAAGAAATCTTTCATCCACGTATATATATATATATATATATATATTGGGGACCCTGAATCTGCTCAATAGCCTTCTATAATAATGAATAACCGGGACTACCCCCCCCCCA